GCGAGCACCCCTACTAGGGATGGATACGTGCGCCTAACAAAATGACATTATTATTATTATTATTATTATTATTATTATTATAATATATATATATATATATATATATATGTATATATATATAACACAAAAAATGAGAGGTTCAACAGCAGCTTTGATTAGACATATTTATTACTATTTAGTTTCGTGCTACACATACATGGTGCAGCACTCTTCAGATAAAATAGTCGATTTCCACTCCGCCACTATATATATATATATATATATATATATATATCCGCCACGGCACAATAGAAAAAACATTGTTATCAATTGTAATTTGCGCGGAAGATGAACAAAAAAATACAGTTCACAAAATACGTTCTGGATTAATAAGCCATAGATTGTTCTTAAGTCTACAAAAAAAAGTATTAAAATATCAACGAATTATTTTGCGTATTTTAATTAGTGAGAAACATTTTATTGTTCCAAATTTGATTATAAGCTAACGTACTGTACTCAATCTAGAAATTAAGAATCAAGCAATTAAAGTTTTGATTTTATTGTTCATTTTTTGGATTTATCAAGGGATGAGTTCATTTGCAGTTTGACAGGTAGCAGGATCAGGGCAGAATGACATGCCCCAGAGCCTCGGGGTCCTGTGTGAGAGGTATTATGTATCGACAGTCATATGCAAGCGTAATATATCGTAAAATTTTGTTAGTCGTTAGTGTAGGCCTATAGCGCAGCTTATCGTAAGCAAAATCGCAACTTATGAGACCGGCTTCATAGGCCTAATCGTATACATCGAACGCTAAATTAGACTGTTACTGTTACGTCTCGTTTTTTGTTTGATTTTTTTTTTTTTTCGTTTTTTTTATTGCCATTGGGAAGGTGTTTTAAACTCGACATCTTCATTCAGAGTGGAAAAAAATTAGCTGCCATTTTCTTTCGAAGGTTAAGTTTCATCGGCCGTAGACTGTTTTCACCTTCTCTAATTTCCTACCTCTGATCGAATTATGACTTTGGTGCTCAATTCGAAGAATAATCAGTAGAAATGTAACTATAACGATGACTAATATAATGTGGATTTTCACTCAGTTTTGATTTTTTTTGTCGTAAAATACCGGTAAACAATAGGCCTTATTTGTCATTTTTTCTACGTACCGTAGTTAATAATATTATAATGAAAATAAGAGACGCCTCCCGGCCCACACGCTCTTAGGTGGATGTCGGCTATTCGACTCAATTGCATAAGCCCCGAAGGACATCGTTAAGGTAATGGAGGTTTTGATGAAATTGCTACTTCCAACAACAACGCATGTATTATAGTTCATTATCAGAAACTATTGGGCATCCATTAGCTTGCAATTAAAAAACTAAAGCATGAACACTATTAGCGTTAAGATCAATCTTTCCTTCGACTGGTCCGAATTATTCTCATCATACAATATATGGAATAAGTATGTACACCGTGTATATAATAATAGGACTAGTATACAAAACTCAAGGAGACATTACGTTATAATAGGCTACATAAATTAGACTATGGAGTTACAGGCATAACAACGTTTTCAAAAGGACATCCAAAATTTAATGTTGCATCATTCACTATCTGCAGATATTTCTCTATCTGTATCCATGGCAATATTGACATACAACGCAACAAATGTGGGTATAAAAAGTTTCGAATTACTGAATATAAAATGTTAAAAATATCTTAAGATAACATGTACACTTTTATTTTGTTTTGTTTTCTGATATGCTGGTTTCATAGTTAACCTGGGATAGATAAAAACTAGGTCATAAACATATATGATGAAGGAGAAAGACAACTATGGAAAAGTTAATAATTCGAAGGTGGAAGAAAGGTGAGAGTAAGAAAGAGGTATAAAACAATGAATGATGATCCTAAAAAAAACACAAGGTGCTATTGATCGAGCAAGGCCAAGCATCGATACATAAGTCGTAACATAAATACCCGTGAGCAAAGAAGAATGAGATAGAAGAGACAGTATAGTAACCCACGTATTCACGTCAATGCTTAGCTCACATTATTTTTACCCTTCTAAAGGCCGATTCAGACATAGTCGTACGACGCAGCCCCACGCGATTCATCGTCGGAATACATTCTTAAGCCGTCGTGAGAATATTAAACATGTTTAATATAATTTTCGATGCGACTGTCTCCGACGCAGACCATCGCGTCTCTGTTTAACTCGCACAGATCGGACGCGTCAACAAATCGCGTCGGACTGTGTCGTACAACGTCTGAGTTTTGAAGACGATCATAATGAAAATGACAATTGTGATGATAATAATGATGACGACAACGTTTATGATGTTGATGGTAATGATGATATGCCTTGATGGTGGTGATAATAATAATAATAATAATAATAATAATAATAATAATAATAATAATAATAATAATAATAATAATAATAATAATAATAATAATAATAATAATAATAATAATATATTTCAAACCATATATAGAGGGTGACGTCCTTCCAGCGTATCATATCTAGAAGGTCGGTCGATCAGGGGCCTCTTAAATAAATGAAATAATGAGATGTTTTAACAGTCTGAATACGAGGCTTAGGGATTAAATATATCTTTTAGTAATGAGAAAAATATCATGTGCTGTCACAGGACTTGAACCCAGGACCTTGGCTTTGGAAGGCAAGCATCTTAACCATCGAGCTACATCTTCATTACCGAGATAATAATAATGATGTGCGGATGATACAAATGTTATAATAATGATGACGATTATCATGATAGTGATGAAATAATAATGATGCATTTTGGTGATTTAAGCATAGGCCTAACAATAATTATGATTATTTCGATGATGATGGATGATGAGAGTGAAAATGATTTCCCATCTAATAATTTTATAATAACGTTGTATTAAACAGTTTGGTTTTCACACGTTTTTGTAGAATCAGAAATTCGAACTTATAATGTAAATTACAACTAAAAAAGGTCGCTGCAACGCTGTTTTAACGTCATAATCATAACGTTCACAACGTTAGTGAATATTATGATAAGAGTTTGTTTTTGCGGGTAATGGTGATAATGATTATGATGATGAAGATTGCTGTTTTTTCCCACCTCACTGTGTTGTGCTACTGTTTTAGGTCGATTTAAATAATGAAACGCTGTACAACTTGATTTTTTAGATTTTGATGACACGTACATTTTGTTTGTATAAATGCTGTTGAGGATGACAATGAAATATGATTATGATGACTATAATAGTACTATAGACATACGGTAACTTCATACCTTGTCTTGGTACACCAGTGCCATAATACCAGCCGTAAACTCGGCAAAAATGATCACTGCTAACACGATGGCGTACTGCAACATAATAAAAACAATGCAAATAAAGACAGATGCTAAGTGCAATGATGATATTAATTAGTTAATAGGACAAAACAATAAATAATGTAAATGTAAAATTTTATAATAATAAATAGGCCTAATGTAAATGTAAAATTTTGTATTTAGATGAACGCTTATTAAACTGAACAGTGCTATTGTCACCTGTTGAATCCAAAACTCCAGTGGGGAGTTAGTCATAGACACCGAGGAAGATCTAGTCCAAAGGCTTCAGTTCAATGGGAGTTAATCGTGAGTCCATTTCATTTTTAAATATATTTTGATCGCATATATTCCCAATAGGGCCTATGTTTGCAGTGCGGAAATGGTTAAAAGATTTAACAAAACTAGAATCAGTTCAAGTGAAACATTAATTATTCTTATGGCAACATTGACCTTTCATAGGCCTACTGCTATATGGTTGGAAGATAAGATTTAACATTGTGCATTAAAGACACTACAACCAAGGATTACAATGAATTTGTCTAAAATATTTTTAAAGCCGTTGGTCCCGTGTGCATTTGTGGCCCATGTTCACGTTAAAGAACGCAGTACACTCTTCGGAATAGGGGATTGTCTTCCGGTGTACTGACCAATCACCACCAGAAGGACCCCACTGGAAATAAGTCTTCTTCTAGACTTTTGTGGATAATCCTTGGTGTTCACACGAATAAATCCAATCAAACAACTTCGAGTTTTTCGTCAAATATGCCTTTTTTGTCTTAGAAAAATCAGTTGTATAACATATCATTTTTTCCTCCGGAGCCTGGTTTTGAATAATGAGCTAACAGTAGCTGACTTTCAATTTCCATTTATAAGCCAAAATATGAACAAATATTATAACATCAAAGACTGGCACAGACACTCGACCAGTACGACTTAATTGGGCCTACAGTATGTAGCGTCCTCTGTCGGTGAACTTAACAAAGTGACGTAATACAGTATTTATACTTAGTAGCACAGAAACTCATTCCTTCCCAGTGCTCTCCATCGGGCAAATGATAAATTGTGTATGTGGTTTTCTGTTGTTATTTAACTCAGTATTTATTTATTTATTGTATAGGCCTACTGTAGCATAAATTATATTTATATTGTCTCGTGATTGTTACTAAGTACCCATGTAGAAACATCATGCATGCATGTATGAATGTATATATATGACCAATAAAATAAATCCGAATTTAAATTATAATTCGTCATGTTAATGTTAGCAGATGACAGACTCCAGACAGAGCACGCAGAATGACGTTCAGATGAAATTCCAAGAAACAATATCGAGATTACATTTCTACTTCAATCAAAACTTCAGCCACCAAGCCATCACACCATTATAGCATGAAAAACATTAATGAGACTGGAAAAAGAAAATGTCAAAAACATTTTTGACAGACACAACATTCAAGCCTAGATTATTTGTATTAACTCTATTCACAAAGTTACCGTATATTCAATGATTTTGATTTTTCAATTGACAAGTGCACCACGTTTTACATTCGGTGCTCGACGCTTCATGCGAACCTTAGCTAAAAACTTTTTTTTTGCATGCAAAGGGGATTTTTAGATAGTGAAGCAATTGCAGTTTACGTTCGTTAACGTTGCGTACACAGGGGGAATCAAATTCAAAGGGGTGGTGGGGTGTAAAATATTTGTGAAACTGGTTCGTAATGTACAACGTATTCACACTCGAAAAAAAATCTTTAAAACAATCAATTTAAAGCAAATTTACCGTCAGCAATATGTATTTATTTTCCTTTGTATTTCCATAGAAACCGTATACGCCAGCAAGGATGGACATTGTGCTAAAGGTGATCGTCATGATGGCTACCACGTACAGGGTCTTCTCATCAAGAAGGTACGAAAAATTATCCGAAACTGTATAGAGCCATATTCCCAAGCCAAGAGTACCTATACCTACTAACTAAAAATAATTCATCTTTGTCAGCGTAGTCGGCGTAGTAAAAAATGACAGCAATATGATATGAAAATCTAATCATTTATGTAATGTATTATGATACGATATAATGTACAGTTCATGAAATGATAGGCCTACATAAAATAAATAGGATAATAATGAGGACGCGACGATATGACACGCCAGTAATATAATAGGCCTATATGATATGATACGAAACGATACTATATACGATGCGGTATCTACGTTACACTCGGCATGTCGTGAGTTGATAGGATATGAAAAAATATATACCTTAATATGATATGATATGACATGCCTATATAATGATCTGGGCATATCTTACATTATATTTTCTTTCGGTGTGAAAAAATAGATAAATCATAATAGTACAAAAATGTCTTTCCAGTAGAATCGAATTGGGCAGTAGACCAGGAGGCAGTCCCTCGAGCCCAACGGATCGTCAAACGCTCACAAGTTTAAAGTTTCATCAGAAAGACAGTGTAGTAGGCCTATTCAGTGAAACCAAAGTGCAGCATCGATATATTCAGTGTACAAAAGGTGCATGGAGGAAATATTCCTCCATGGTTTAAGCAACGGAGCTAAACTGAGATAAGATGCGATGATGAGGTGATATGATATAATCAACAAATGCAATGCAGAGCAATAAAATACAACGGAACGTAAGAGACAACACAACAAAACACAAAACAAAATCTTAATAATATCATAAAAAAACAAACTGGAACAACGCCATGAAAATAAACGTTTACATACCCGTGTGGTATAATGTTTACTACGCGTGTTAAATCACAATTGTTTGTTATGTTTGCCTTTATATCGTGATAAATATCATTAATTTGAGTCGTATCCTGTTTCACAGAAATTATCAAGGGCATAAGATTCATGACACAGTCGATTCAAGCGTATTCATAAGGTGTGATTTTGGGAGATTTCAATATGTATATGGTTCAGGAATTCGGATGAAATCAGCCAATTCTACAATTAGCCAGTAATCAAATTGGTAATTTTGTTTACGACCTGATGTGGTACCGTATGTGTGCACGCAATACAAATGTCAGAACCTGTGTCTAAATAGGACTTACTGTATACACTTTAATTCACCGCCGGACAGTAGGTTACATTCATAAAAAGTTTGTTAACTGAATGGTTGACTGAACATAAGAGTGACGTCGTGTTGATAAGTGTTGTTTTAAATCGCACTTGGAATACTCATGCTATGAAAATAATTATCATTGATGTCCAAAATGTGTAAGTAACCATTTATGCGCGCAACTGGACAACCTGATCACAAGTCACTTGTCAATACATCTGATTCGTTTTTTTTTTCTTTGCAAAGACGACTGTTTACTTATCATTGATTTGCTAGTTAAGTGAAAGGTTGTTCTCAAGCACGATTTCACGTCTACATCAATGAATGAAATGTTTCACAGGTATCTCTATCGTCTAACAGGAGGTGAAAGGTTATAATGACCAGAGGGTGAAAGCAACATTACTTAATTGGTAAGCCAATGGAGAGAGTGTAACTGTATACAGACGAGTGTGCAGACAGTCCTATTGATATAGTATACTGTACCGGTATCTTTCTTTGTAGTACCATTTGTTCGTATTAGGTTCCATGAGTTGGAATTTTCTATTTATTTTGGAGGTCCAGCTTACGAACTATTTGAGTTATTGAGCTTATTATATCACGGGTGGCGCCAGCGGGGTGGGGTCGAGAGGTTCAGGGGGAGGGGCTAGGGTTCCCGTCGGGGACAGTTCCCCTCCCCCCCCCCGCGTTCGGGGAGAAAAACCACAATTCGTCGGAGAGAAAAAATGTATATGTACTTTCAACATATTACTAGACTCCAAAATCGCTTAAACAAGCTTTTGAAACCCCTAAATTGTCATATTTTTCTTGAGGCTTTGCCCCCTGCAACACCTCCGAGAGATTTTGAGCGACGACGTCTGTCGGGAAAATCCTGGTGCTACCACTGGTTTATATATAACAAAACAATATATTCTGTATGCAATTATGTTAAAGCATGGTTAAAGCCATCAGTAAAATAGCAGTCTACTGTGACTGTCATAACAATTGCTCAACATAAATTTGTATTCACGTGAATGAAATGTATTCACCTTTTTTTTATGGCTCCAAATTATCATTATTTTTTGTATATAATGCGTTAAATTAGTCTGGAATTTACCCGCGAAAATGGGTCATCTTTTCATTTCTTTAATTTACTTTAGGGGGCCTACTTATTTTACTTTACCTTTTAATTACTTTTTATATTACTTGACTTTGTTTTCTTTTTCATTATTTTGTTTTACTCTACTTGTTTTTGTTCACGGAATTATTATGGAAAATTCAAATCTTACCAAAACCAGTATGCTTGACGTATATAAAAATGTTTTAGCAAAACCTTTCCCAAACTCAGAACAGTCTACCATTTTTATTTCTGTTAGCCTGTAGAAACAAAGCACAAGACACCATCGAGTATTAGGGCTATCTTTTAAGACAACGAATATTAATATTTTCACAAGACACGAGATACAATATTATTTGTACAGTCTCTTTGTAAACATGGCACAAGATTTGTGTTGACTGGCCAATAATATTTGTATAAACCTGATAATGATTATGAGATGTTAAACTACTACAATAATAATTTGTATATGCCTACAGCAGAAGTACTATAGAGCAGTTAAAGGGTGCCATCGAGACCCTGTAAACAATCATCGTATTGTAAATAGTCGCTCGCACATTGCACATCCTCGTCAAGTGTGTATCTGCGGGAGTGGGTGCGGGGATCGAGGCGCACGTCTCTCCAAGAAATACTCGCGCTCCCACCCAGTCGCCCCTCCCCTCTTAAAAAAAATAATTTTGCGAGCTAGCGCCCACATTTGATCATCGAGCCCCAAACGTGACATTCGCGCTCCTCATCAGCACCCTCTCCCCACCCCCTCTATTTCAAGATTCCTACATACGCCACTGTCCTCGTTCAGATGCTGCACATATTTTGTTGAATAGAAGTAGAGGTAACCAACCAAACATTAGTAAAAACCCCTTATCACTATACAATATTAAAAATGCATTTTATTGTTAAACAATATATATGCAGTGGTAGAATATATTTTCTGGGGCGTGGGGCGCAAGCTGTCCGACGGGGGATTTGAGCTCTTAGGCCTGAGCTGGGAAAAGGGTTTGAGAGGGAATTCCCTCTCTCAAATGAGATTTTTTAAAAGAAAAGAACCTGTGGATGGTCGGAATGGCACTGTCAGATTGTGCGACAGACGTGTTGGCTTGGTGTGGGCCTATTTATATATTTCCTATGATCTGACTTCCCGACGAGCTCTGTCCGGCTAGGGGACTTGACCTGTCCGGTGGGCGCTTAAGCCTCCCTTGCCCCTGCTCACGCCGCCACTGTATAAATGTAAACCATGTCATAAGTTGACAGTAATATCGCGATGATCTGGACTGGTGAAAGTGTGGAAACTCATCAGTGTAGGCATTTCAAAATGGCATAAAAGCACCGCGAAATCCCCAAAAAAATGATCATCAAATCCGAGAATCTTTTGTGGGTTTTATTAGGACCCCAGGACAGTGACGTAACACCTGCGAGTTCCTATTGGCTTAAGGTCCAACTATATATGAATCAGTATTTTTTACCAGGACCATGGGACGTAAATCGGCCAACCGGGGCTCTTAAAGTAACATGAACGTGTAATAACACATCAAAAAATTCAAAAACACTAGAGCGGACGGTAGATGTGCCTCTAACTCCAGTGCGGCTATAAGGTAAAGGTAATATAAACGGGCTATTAGATACTATTGGCATAATACTATTATTGTGTCACCCGGCTTCAGTTATTTTTGAGCAAAGTAAGCACCCACGATGTTAAATATTAGACAAATACTTTACTTTATAAAGCTATGTCCACTATCAAATTTTATGTGGCAGGTGTGTGTGATGTTCTCATATATGGACATGATGATGTCATATTATACCCAAATATGGGCATATCACACATATTTGTCACATAATCTGATAGTATGGACATGTGAGCTTTAAGCCCTGTCCAGAATATCAAATTTTATTTGAGCAAAACATGTGAAATACCTAAATATGGTCATGATGACATCACATCAATCATGATCATAGCCACATCGTGACTATAATATTAACTTACAACAGTTATTTTTTTTTTAATTTAAAAGTGTGGCAGATTTTTAAACATATAAGTCTGATCAAACATTCACTAATGGTACTGACACCACCAACTGTATGCTTAGCTTTAAGACACGTTTATAGCTTTGATTCAGATAACAAATAATGAAATATGAGCCGTGTAACATCTATAATAAAAAAGGCTATGAAAGTGATGAAATGGGCCTATATTGCATTTAATGTGGAGTGTAATACGCACAAGCTTTGTGATTGGTATAGGGAATTGTTGTCGTTCAGTGAAGATAATAACGCTACTGTTATTTTTCCACTTTTATGACGCAGACAAAGGGACTACAATTTATAAAAGGTAACCAGGCAACTCGCCTCTGCCTCACTTAATCTAGCTTCCTCCAATTCAACATATTCCTTCATACAAAATCGTACCAAAACATACTAATTTTTAAAACTCGCATAAGGTTGACTTTCCTCCAGGCAAACTCGTCTGTAACTTACCTTCCTACAAATTCGCCCCTAGCTAGCAGTTACCCTTTGTTTATAATGTAGTAAGTGTAATGATGCATTACCAATGATAATATTTTCATTCCATAAATAAATAAATATGTATATATATATGGGCCTACTGTATATATATATATATATATATATATATATATATACATATATATATATGTTATTAATATCTAGCACAATATTTTTATACCTAAATGCTATACTATTGCTAGTGAATGAAGTAATATGTTCTTACCTATGGTCGTAAAAGCATCAAATGCTTTGGGCTGTGAAATTGGCTCAAAGTACAGTCAAATAGTTTGATAAGGATGATCAAATGTATCTCGACTTCACCTTGATAAGAGAGGTTATTACGTCAAGTCTTTTGTGCCGTTAGAGGAGGTACTAATGAAGTTGGATTTTCCACCTACAGACGAAATGTGTAGAGTGATTTACCAGTGTCTGTATTTCTTTGAAAACCTAAAAAAGATTTCATAATACTGTAAATATAACACTGTCCAAATGAATTGGAAGAATTCCTCGCCCTCTATATTAATATTTTAGATGATGATGATAATTATGAGTATATGATAAAACTAGAACAGTCACTCCATGAGTGCATATCTCTGCCTTATGCATTGATACCAAACAATACACACACCGTGTATGGGTGATTCCATCATCCTCATTGCATTCAACTATGACACTTCAATATTTAAATCTTCAATTATGTTTTTAAATGGTATTTTCTATTGCATTGTTAATAAAATTATCAGAGATTTTCAGTGATTTGTATATACACACAGTTTAAATTTATACTTTAAATGTGTTATATGGATATGTCAGACATAAAAGTTGATTGATTGATTGATTGATTGGTTGATTGGTTGGCTGATTGATTGATTGATTGATTGGGACATAAATGTGCACTTCATTTAATATTATGTACAGTCAAATAGTTTGATAAGGATGATCAAATGTATCTCGACTTCACCTTGATAAGAGAGGTTATTACGTCAAGTCTTTTGTGCCGTTAGAGGAGGTACTAATGAAGTTGGATTTTCCACCTACAGACGAAATGTGTAGAGTGATTTACCAGTGTCTGTATTTCTTTGAAAACCTAAAAAAGATTTCATAATACTGTAAATATAACACTGTCCAAATGAATTGGAAGAATTCCTCGCCCTCTATATTAATATTTTAGATGATGATGATAATTATGAGTATATGATAAAACTAGAACAGTCACTCCATGAGTGCATATCTCTGCCTTATGCATTGATACCAAACAATACACACACCGTGTATGGGTGATTCCATTATATTTTTTTATGCTCGAAGGTAAGTTCAAGGGAAAAAAGTCGGATTTTCCGTAACCTTGCCTTGTCCTTTTAACTTTCCTTCCCAAAAGTGAATAATCTCTTTCTTAGAGTATTATTTACTGTTCCACTAAATTTTATGATGATCCATTCCTCGTTTTTGTATAATCTTGCAAACAGACAGACAGGGGTGAATACTGGTACATTACTGCCTCGACGGTGGTAATACTAATAAGATTAACAATAAGCTAATGGTGGGAGAAAGAAAATACTCACCTTCTAGTACCAATGCCCTTGATTTATTTCTAGCCAAATTTAGGACGGTGTTGTTGTCCAACCAAAAAACAGCAACATTTAAGCATCATCCTCATTGCATTCAACTATGACACTTCAATATTTAAATCTTCAATTATGTTTTTAAATGGTATTTTCTATTGCATTGTTCATAACATTATCAGAGATTTTCAGTGATTTGTATATACACACAGTTTAAATTTATACTTTAAATGTGTTATATGGATATGTCAGACATAAAAGTTGATTGATTGATTGATTGATTGATTGATTGGTTGATTGGTTGGCTGATTGATTGATTGATTGATTGATTGATTGGGATATAAATGTGCACTTCATTTAATATTATTTCATACAGGTATGCATGTTTAATTATTGCAGTTTGAAATGTTAATAGAAGATTTTACACTGTTTATACAGTATTTGTTTATTTTTTATAATTGCATTTTTCTCATTTTATACAAATCGCTGTTATAGAAATAGTCAACTCAGTTACTGACACATGCGCATTAAAGAGCATTGTTTATACATCATAAATACATGAATTTGTGTTTTACAGGGTTGTCTAGATTTTCAGTCGCGTAAATTAGGCAGCATCACTCATTAGGAAATACATTAGGCTTAATTAAAGTAATATAAAATCAGCCCACCGCCTACCTTTCAATTATTTACCCTGAAGGTTTTGCTATCAATTGGAAAACATATCACGTTATATCTTAGCTTGTGCATCGTTTTCAATACCATTTGATTTGTCTATACAAATAAAACAGTTTATTATATTTAGTCTCAATTCAAATATTTAAAAAAAAATTGGGCTTTTAGAAAGATGTATTATATGTTATTTTCTTTGGCTAAGAACACTGCATGCGTTTTCATTCCGTTTCTTACAGTAACAACAATAAACGCATTTCAACAGCTCACAGCTAATGGATAGCCGAGACAATGTGAACACACATTATTATAATGCATATCATCTGCATGTTATAGAGATTTATTAATTAACAATTACTTAAGATTGGTCGCGGGTATTTGGTTAATTATATACAGTAAACTTTTACTACTGTGTAACTGAATCGTACCTATTGCATTTACTATGTGTAAACACCAAGTGTAACTCACGCAAAAGCCTGAAGAGGTTGTGATGCCACCGGTTCGATGACGTATGCGTCGATTTTGGTCATAGAAAGAACACTGGCTAAAAAAATGTCATGCCTCTAAACAAAATCAAAGAGGACCTATGATCGATCGGGTACAGTTAAGAAACTAAGCCGTTGGACTTGATTTTCTCTAATTGGTAATTCTCCTTGGTAAATGTTAAAGAAGTATAATATGTAAGTCCAAGGCACTTGGAGTAGTTTTATGTAGTTTTTTTTTTCTTTCAAATCGCCGCGTTTACACTCATTATAGGCATTTTCTCATGCTGTCTTACATTTGATTATTTTGTTGTATCGATCGCCCTTACAAAGCTGCCACCTCAAGACGTAATACTTGCCCATTATGTCTACTATAATCCAATAATATTAATTTGTTGACATAAGGAAATTATGCATGTTAATACATATCATATATCTAATTAAATATTTATGCTTTAACTTCAAAATGAAAGCTTATTTGCAAACCAGTACATTTAACCAATACGTGCTTGAACAAGTATTCTAAATTCCGTTTGTTCCTGATAATGGAACCTTTGATATTCCATTCTTTTGCTTAAGGATGAGATTAAGTAATCAACGGAGAGTGAATGAATAATATAACCAGCCCTATTGCAATCTTTTACTATTATTATCATTATTGTATTAACATTATAAACATTATCATCAGTATCATTACCGAAACTTTCGTTGTTAGGCCTATAAAGGTATTCTTAATCAACAACTAAGTTTTACTTATAGGTTTATTCTGAAATCCATTAAACCTATCAAACTGATCATACTTTACTGGTGCTACAATGAGCTTTGCCTTATGGACCCCTAGGTATCCCCAGTTCAAACACTTACCGTACCGTACTTAACTGGCGTGCTTCCTTATCAAACATTTTCCCGCCCCACCTTCACCGGAGATGCCGTATTCTAACAAACATTTAGTAAAATCATTAATCCATTAAGAAATCTGTAAGATCGTTTTAAGCTCTGTCCGCACCATCAACTTTTATGTGACAAATTTATGCGATGTGCCCATATATGGGCATAATGATGTCATTTCACGCCTAAATATGGGCATATCAACCTTTTTGTCACATAAAACTTGATATTGCAGACAATTCTTTAGCTTCTGTTGTGGTTTCGGCAGATCAGTACCCATGAAAAGGGCCTGATACGTTCGACTGTTCCCCCAGGTCCGTTAATTTTTTTTATCTGAAATGTTAGACATATACGTAAAATGATTGAACTACCGTAATTCAAGACGATTAATTAGACAAAGAGTGCTTATGAAGCAAGACAATAGCCAAATATTAACCACACAGGTACCGTATACCTCCATGATCTATCCATCTGCACTTTTAATGCTAATTCCCTCCAAGTGAGCTTTTGGCAAATTAATACGATAATGCTTAATATCTCGGCGACAAAATTAATTATTTTGCGAGCTAGCGCCCACACCTGATCATCGAGCCCCAAAACGTGACATTCGCGCTCCTCATCAGCACCCTCTCCCCAGACCCCCACCCCCTTCATTTCAAGACTCCTACATACGCTACTGACTTCGTCCAGATGCTGCACAGATTTTGACGAGTATAAAAGTATAAGTAACCAACCAAACATTAGCAAAAACCCCTAATCACATTGTATTGTTTAATATTATAAATGCAGTGGCGACTCTAGGATATATTTTCTGGTACGGGGTGGGAGGTTCGCAGGCTGTCCGACAGGGGGATTTGAGCTCTTAGGCCCGAGCTGAGAAAGGGTTTGAGAGGGGATTTCCCCTCCCAAATGAGATTTTTCTTAAGAACAGGAACTCCCGGACGGTCGGAAATAACACTCTCAGATTGTGACAGACATGTGTTGGCTTGGTGTGGGCCTATTTATATATTTTCTATGCTCTGACTCCCCGGCGAGCTCTGTCAGACTAGGAGGCTTGACCTGCCCGGTGTTGGAGCTTAAGCCTCTCTTGCCTCTGCTTTCGCCGCCACTGTATAAATGTAAACCATGTCATAGATCAGTGTCCATGCAAAAGGGCCTGCTACGTTCGACTGTTCCCCCAGTACAGTTCCCGTTTAAGGTTTTTTTTTGTGAAATGTTAAGCATATACTGTACGTAAAATGGTTGAACTACCGTAATTCAAGACGATTAATTAGACAGAGTTATCAATAGTGCTTATGAAGCAAGACAATAACCAAATATTAACCACACAGGTCGAAATCCATGATCTATCCATCTGCAATGTCAATGCTAATCCCCTCCAAATGAGCTTTCGGCAAATTTATACGATAATGCTTAATATCTCGGCGACAGAATTAATTATACTACGTGTGGATAATTCTAAACACAAGGATACGTTGAGAAGGCCATTTTAATAGGCCTGTATTACCAATTTATATCCTTATGTACTCGATATTTAACAGTTTTTAAATTTTGATTAGTCTTTTTTTCTCATATAATTGTAACTAAAAATCTTACGATGTTTGTCAAAACGACTTACTACATTTAAAGTGTTATTGCTGCTCAAGAGGTTGAG